CAGAACCGGTGCCATCATGGCACCGGATACCGGTACCCATCCCTACTTATATGACATGTTGGACCTTCATGAAAGATCTTTTTGGAGCAGTATATTTATTCCAATTATAAACTACAAGTGCTACTTGTTTACTGATACAGTGTAACATTAGTTTCACTGTATCATGCACAATAACAGTGGAGTTAACAGTTTGCTCATTTCCAGAGAAGATCGATCCCACTTTTATCTAATGTGTTCTAACAGTAAAGTCAGCACCCAGTTAGCTTATCAGAAAAACAGAAAGAAGTTTTTAGCATTGAGAACTAAACTTCTTCTGTCTCTTCCTTCTGTGACGCAGAGTTGGAGTATACACAAAGTGTTTAGGTTGGCGTATTTTACGAGTAACTGCTCAAACAAACATGTATTTTTAAATGTACGAATGTTGAACTCATAAATATACATCGGTTATTATGTAATGACATCTTCCAAATTGATGTGTTCTCATAAACTTAGAATGAGTTCATTAAACATACACAGGAGCAGGCGCCGGTTTGGAAAAGACGCCATATTGCCTGACTGTCTTGAGATAGGCGTGGCATTTATTAGAGACCAGCCACGTGTATAGTGTGCTAAAGACAGAGGAGGAGAGGACTCGTAGGTGTTGATGGATTACTGAGCGAGAACTCGATGATGTCCTCAACGACTCGCCTCGGTATCGCTGTCATTGGTCAGACGTGAGCTTCACAGACTCATCAGTTTGTGTCAGACTCTTTGCACAAACATTTCCAGCCTCATCCAGAGCAAACAGACGTGGACACGTGTCATAGCTGAGGGATACAGGACTGACAGCCTGCACTCATTACAAACACAGCAAGCACAGGAAGTGGTTCGAGCTGTTTGTTCTACAGTGGCCACCGATTATGCATAATCTGCAGTCCAATAGCATCTAGTGGTGAGATTTTACACACATTAATGGAAGAACGTAGAAGTATCTGCATGAAATGATTTGGTATTAACCACACTGATCCACAAGTAGAGGCATGAGTGCCGTACAGGGCGTTTAAAATGCGAACAGACTCACTTAAATGACTCACACATTTAGAGAGTATTCATACAAAGACATCCAGTCACGTTCATGACTTTTAACTATAAAACTTCAGGTAATGACATTTAAACACAAAAAAATAAAAAGGGGAATCCTGGTAGGTTTCACTTAGCTCAACAGCTTCCTTTAGTTTCAGTCTGTGTCACCTCGGAGCTATACGCATAGGTCAAAGACTAAAACCTGGATAACAGCCATTAAGAATGATTTTTCCTAGTGGCCATAGACAGACCCTGCATTACTAAAAAGGACTGACCTGTAGTGACACTTTTGAACAGTACATTGTCACTTGCTATTTTTGTTCCTTTTTTTTTGCCAACATTAAACTGCATCTTTTGTCTTGATCCCTTTTATATAGGCAGTAGCTGTCAGGCCTTTAAGGCTTTAATTGGGAGCCTGTTCTCCCTCTGATTGTCGTCTGTTCCCATCTCTTTAACTGACCTCTGCTCTGTCTCCATCAGAGAGCAGTTCCTCAAGTCCAACGCCCAGCTCACCTTCCGTTGTCGTCAGCTCCTCTCTGAGCTTTCCTACATCTACCCCATCGATGTGGTGAGTTGGGCAACTGCAGAGAAATATCTGGTTACAAATGTAAGACTTTGGTGAAGCACAGATGCTGGAGGGGGTTATATAGTGTGTGCAGCGATTTCCATGTTTATTCCAAAGATAAGTTTAGTTTGTATACTAACTGAATGATTTTCGGCCCGCCCCTCCGCCGGCTGATTATGGATCTGTTGCTGATGTCCAGGTGCTCTGTCCTTCATGTGAAACCTCTTCTTTAAATCCACAGACCAATCAGTCGGATTATGTCATCTGTGGAGTGAAGCTGCCAAACTCGGAAGACTTTCAAGGTAATTGATTATGAGCCTGCCGCCTATTTAAGTGTTACAGGAGGATAAGTGGCATGCTGTGCAAATGTTTCGTCTTGCATTCGACGCTTGTGGTTAGATGCAGATGTCGTGAAGTGAAGCAATCTAACATTTTACTGAAGGATAAATGAAGGCTGATGATTTCATAGACAGTTATCTATGATATCATAGTTTTGGCTATTGCAGATGGCAATTTTGCAAAAAGCTATTACTGTGTTAAGGTACCATAACCTTTGTCGTACTGTGCACGAATGCGATAATTGATAGTTTGTCTTTTTCATACACAAAGGGCATAATGACATAATTGTAGCATAAATGAGGGGAGAATAGCTGTAGTAGCTGCAGATGATTGATATTCCCATTCACTCGGGCTGCTCAATCACAGTACACCCACTGCTGCACGTCTCGTCTTGTGCATGACATCAGTGATCAAATTAACAGAGACATGCACAGCCCTTTATAGGTAGACATGCACAAGAGGAGCACAAACTATGCATGGAGCGCGCCATGTAAAAAGAAGGACGACTGCTCCATGCTGATCTAATCACGATCAGTTATAGAGGGCAATGAGAGCTTCTGCAGGGAATTGTTGATTTGGTCGTTTTGCCCTGATGAGATGCAGCGTGGTTAGTTTGCATTCTTGCTGATCTCTTGCTGGTAGCTGTTGGAGTTGTTCACTGTCACCACATTCTAAGACGGTCTTGTCACAAGATGCTTTTTATCCAGTTCTACCGCCCCAGTGAGAAAAAAGCCACAAAAACCACACGGCATGGTATAAAAGACACATTAGTGAAGTGCAGGGCATTAAAAAAGTTGTGTCAGCAGGCACATTCGGACACAATGCTCCCGTTATGAGCTTGGTGGGGAAGGTTAGAGTAAAGGTCGCATCGTATGCGTCGTGACAAATTGGATTTGCAGTCACAGCAAGAGAAATGTGATGACTGTCTGACCTCTTAATAGTCGGGGGATGAGAATTGAATGGGTTTCTGAATGCTGAGCTTTGGTCAGGACCACTTGTCCAACACGGGGAACACAACCTCCACTGTCCACGCCACATTCTCGGGCTCCCCTTCCTCACAGCTGGTGAAACCCAGCAAGCCTCTGAGGCCGTAATTCAGCAACACTAGCCTCGTCTCCTCCGCTCCCTGCTGCCGCTCCCCACCTGTTAACATCTTTTACATACACAGTAGAGATGGGCAGCCATTACTTGTTCTCAATTTAAAATTTGACGCACAGACCGAATCCTGTTTTCTCTCATTTTTAGATGATCGATCAGTCCTTTCAGACACATCTATAAGTCGTCTGTTACTGGTGTGAGGCTAAAGTGAGGCAGATTAAATTTAATACTGACTCAAAAGGAAAACGATGTACTGCATGTGTTGTCAGTAGGGCTGCCACAAACGATTATTTTGATAGTCGACTAGTCACCGATTATTTTT